GTTTGTGATATGGGTGTCGCTTTGCTTTGATGTTTAGCCATCCTTGAAAGCTGTTTACTGCTTCATGTGCTCCCTCATCATGAACACTCTCTTTTAAATAACCTGGCATCATGACAAGATATTTAAATCCACAGGCAGGTATTATTAGCTGTTTGTTTCTTTCAAGTTTTTTGCTGTATATATAGAGACATACTTATTCCATAGTACAAAGAAAGAAGGTAAAAGTTGTATAAGATAAAAGCATCCACTATTTTTATTTTTCATTGTAATCCCTGGGTGATGCACCATGGACTAGCTGGAAGTTTGATCTTTATTGACTCTGCCACCTAAGAGAAAAGAGAAAATAGGTAAAAACAAAAATAGTAATTGGAAATAGCTCCTGTGGAGCAAAGCTGTCATGAAGCAGATTGATTCAGCAGTGGCAGAGTGGCTTTATTGATTGTGAGTCCTTAGTAAATTAAAAAGAGGACCAAATGCGTTAATCTTTTGTGTGTGTGTGTGTGACAGAGACAATTTAGAATGTTCTGCCAGGATACAGACACATATAGGAGTGTGGGAATGTTATCTACTTCAGCCAGTAATAGGCTTTTCTGAGATAAGAACCAAGTTCTTCAAAAACCCTTCTGGGTTAAATGTTCTTTGCTGTAGGCAAAGAATAAAAGAAATACTGTTGCTTGTGGGTTTTTTTTAAGCATTCAGGTGAAGTTATTCTAGATAAATAAATGATACATAGGAATTGCACTAATTTTCTTCAGGTACTCACAGTGAGTTCCTTAGATTTGATTCTCTGCCTGAATTGCAATGTCAAATTTGTTGTTAAAAGTGCAAAACATTAATATATTCTAGCTGAGGACCTCTGCTTCATAAGTAAAAGTCAGTTTCGGATTTGGATTTTTGACTCTTCCAATTACTGCTAATTACTTATTGTCATTGCCTCTTTGCAAGTAAATTAATCCTTTATTTGTTTTCTTCCCCAAATCATCACTGCTTGTCATAAAGATGAAATTCATTTGGAAGGGGAGCAGCCACACGGTGTAAGATGATAATACATAGGTTTTTCCTCCATGGAAAAGTAGAGAGCAGGGACAGAGCTGGGATTCTGTGCTAGTGAGGACTAGACTGAGCAGATGTTACATACAATAGGTAATCTGCTTTTCACCCTCAAATTCTGCACCATCAGAGATTTGTTTCACATATTTCTTGTTGGCTTAGCAAAGCTGAAGTTCAGCCAGGAGAGCATACTCTCCTCTTTTACTGTCTGCTATTTTCCTGCCACTTCTGCCTGAAAATCATAGAATCATAGAATGGTTTGGGGTGGAAGGGACCTCAAAGATCATCGAGTTCCAACCCCCCTGCCATGGGCAGGGACACCTCCCACTAGCTACCAGTTTTGTGACCTCTCATTCCCAACAAGCTATCTGTTATAGAGCACTCTGAATCTCTGCTATTTTGGATGCACAGTTGTTAAAAGGACAGGGTATGAGGAGCATCTTCTGCTAAGGGACTCTGGGGTGCCATGCAGCTGGGGGGAAAAGGAACTGGAGTTGCGTGAGGTAGAGCAGTGAGAAGGCAGGGAGCTGGAGGAAATATAGAGTCCTCCAGCCTGGCGCACAGAGAAGTGAAAGGGACCGAGACCCTCACCCTCTTCCAGGGCCTGGAGATGGGAACTGGACCCCATAGAGCTGGCAATCATTGACTCTTGGAGAAAGTGCTGTTCTTGAACATCATTTGCAATCATTTGCAGATGCTTTGTAGCTACTACTGACACAGAAAGAGGAACAGTGAGGTAACAGCCTCCAGGAATGAATCCGGACAGTCTCATGTTAAGTTTATTCTGTGATACTTCTGAAGAACCCAGTCTCTTGTCTTGTCCCCTTGCACCTGTCCCCCAACAACCGTGAGCCTGAGAGGCAAAGGACAGACTGAGATACCATCTCACCCATTTCATCCAACCATTTCACTCCCCACTTCTCTTCCTCTCCTTATTTGCTGGTCCTGGTTAGTCATCCTCTGGTTTCTTTGCGTTGCCAGATAGCTCCATCTTTTCACAGGGGCTTGCACTGAGTCGTGCTTTATGGGGCAGCCTCCCCATCAGATCTGTGAAGCTGTTGTGTTTTCTCCTTCTTCACCGCATACTTTTTTGAGGGGACCTAGAAGAAATTGCTAAGCGCAAGGGAAGGCAGCAAGTGGCTGCCATTCATCTGTTTGTCTAGCTATTGAAGTGTTTCATAATCATTAATCAGAATTTACAGGTAGGCTTTATTCCTCTTTCCCCATATGTTTCCTCTTTCAACCCCCCTGTTTGTCACCCTTGTCATTTCTTGCCTTAAATTTAGATAGCTCAACAGGAGAAGCTGTGTCACTCTATGTGGGTGGTACTACAGCATAAATAATTTTTTTTCATAAAAATGTAAATGCCATTGTAGTTTGCTCCAGTGTGCACAACATTAAATAGTAAATGTTGTAAGTGGTAATTTGTAGTGTTTAAGTCTTGCTTATTCAGTCCCTGTGTTGTTGTTTTTTTGTGCTGAATGACTGATCATTGCACCACTGTTTTCTTTGTTAAACGCATCTGTATGCAGAAGCAGAACTGCTTAATTTGTTTCAATCTGGCATACCGTAGTAAGTCTGCTTTTAAATTGCATACTTAGTAGGTTACAAATCAGGTGGCATCACTTGCGTGATGCTAATCCTCCAGCGTAACTGAAGTGGCTGACTTGGATAGTTTTGGACCACTTTTCTTTTTTGGTAAGCCTTCTGTAACTCCCTTGACTTGCTTAAATGACCTGCTCCTTCTTTTCCACAGCAAGAGTTTCTCTCATTTGGGAAATGTAAAAGGATAGCATTCCTAGCCCAAGCAGAAGCAAAATGTAGCTCTACCATCTGGGCTGTGAAATTGGAATAAAGCTGAAAGCGTTACCTCAGTATATTGCCATGGCTAGAAGCCAGGTGGCAAATAATAAAAGGATGGTCTGGTAGTTGGCATGTTAGTCAGGATCTTGGGAGACTGCTTATGCTGCAAACCTCCACGAATGTGGGCAGGTTGGAAATTATTTCTCTCACCTAATACTGGTTATCTAAATGTTATCTACTCTGAATTAATTGTGCCAGCTCAATCTGCTGTGAAATGGGTAAGCATTTCCAGAGGTTATAGGGTCATTCCACAACACTTAACTCTACATTTTACACTAGGATGAATCACTCTGCGGAGATACTTGTCTCTCTCTGCAGAGGCTTCACAAAAAGACAGTAGCTAACTGCCTTAGCCCAGGTCCCTAACTTTCAGATGCCTGACATACAGCAAATTAGCCCTCTTTGCCCCTTAGGCATTTGTGTGTAGTTAAGGGGTAGTAATCCTTTCATACCTCACAGAGATTAAATGGTGCTACCATGTTCTTGTGAAGAAAGCTATTACTGTGAAAAGAAAATTTTCATAGAATCATAGAATGGTTTGGGTTTGAAGAGTCCTTAAAGATCATCAAGTTCCAAACCCCCTGCCATGGGCAGGGACACCTCCCACTAAAGCAGGTTGCTCAAAGCCCCATCCAGCCTGGCCTTGAACACTTCCAGGGATGGGGCATCCACAGCTTCTCTGGGCAACCTGTTCCAGTGTCTCACCACCCTCAGAGTGAAGAATTTCTTCCTAGTATCTCATCTAAATCCCCCTCTTTCAGTTTTAAACTGTTACCCCTCATCCTATCACTGCACTCCCTCATAAGGAGTCCCTCACCATCTCTACTGTAGGCCCCCTTTAGGTTCTGGAAGGCCGTTATAAGGTCTCCCTGGAGCCTTCTCCGGGCTGAAAATCCCCAACTCTCAGCCTCTCCTCATAGGAGAGGTGCTCCATCACTCTGATCATCTTTATGGTCCTCTGCTGCACCTATTCCACCAGGTCCATGTCCTTCCTGTACTGAGGGCTGCAGAGCTGGACGCAATACTCATGATGGGGTCTCATGAGAGCAGAGTCACCCCCCTCGACCTGCTGGCCACACTTCTTTTGATGCAGTCCAGGATGCAGTTGTCTTTCTGGGCTGTGAGTGCACATTGCTGGCTCATAGAATCATAAGAGACCCTTGGGATCATCGAGTCCAACCATCTACCCTACTCTACAAAGTCCTCCCCTACACCATATCCCTCAGTACCGCATCTAAACGTCCCTTAAACACAGCCAAGGACGGTGACTCAACCACCTCCCTGGGCAGCCTATTCCAATGCCCGACCACTCTCTCTGTGAAGAATTCCTTCCTAATGTTCAATCTAAACCTACCCTGTTGGAGCTTGAAGCCGTTCCCTCTCGTTCTATTGTTAATTACCTGTGAGAAGAGACCAGCCGCAACCTCTCTACCATGGCTTCTCATCCACCAACACCTCCAACTCCTCAGGGCTGCTCTCAATCCATTTTCCACCCAACCTGTATTTGTGCCTGGGATTGCCATGACCCCGGTGCAGGACCTTGCACTTAGTCTGGTTGAACTTGATGAGGTTTGCACGGGCCCACCTCTCCAGCCTGTCCAGGTCCCTCTGGATGGCATCCCTTCCCTCCAGCGTGTCGACTGTGACACACAGCTTGGTGTTTCGGCAAACTTGCTGAAGGTGCGCTCGGTCCCACTGTCTGTGTTACCAATAAAGATGTTAAACAGCACTGGGCCCAGTACTGGCCACTGAGGAACACCACTTGTCACTGGTCTTCATATATATATATTTATAAAAATATAGAATCATAGGATGGTGTTATATTTAGATGTATATTTAGAGATATATATATATTCATATTTTAATTATGTATACAGGCATATTTGTGGCTGCCTCAGATTTTTGACCACAGTGCTGAAAGGTAGAGATCTTAAGGACAGAGACCTGGAGGTTTTTGCATCCCTAGGAAATACGTAGGTATTTTGTGGCAATATTCTGATGAACACATTGAAGAGGCAAACAAAGTGAGGACTTATGAATGCTTGGCATGTATATGAAGCCATGTATATGGTTTTGTTTCTTTTTAGATTGTGATGGATTTCAAACACCCTGATGGCCATACAGTGGCAGTTATGCTGCCCCGATGCAGTTTATTGGTGATGGCTGGAGAATCCAGATACCTGTGGACACATGGGTATGTGAAAGCATTCCAGCATTGCTGATAATAGAAGAACGTTATATATTGGTTTTTTGCTTTGCTGATGACATTCTGTATTTAAAATTGTTCTGAAAAAATTAAGTTTTATAATTAATATACAAATTCACTTCTCTGCTCAGATTAATTTGAAAAAAATAGAGATTTCAGGAAACTAATTGCCAGTCCCTGAGCTGCAGTTTCCTGCTGCTGTCACAAGTGAATTTTCACTCTGAAATCGCTATCACTTAACATATTCGGTCTGAAAGTCCTCAATGACTCTGAACTGGCAAAGAATTGATTGCAATTATCTTTACCATTTCCTTTCTCTCTTTTCAGCCCACAGTTTTTCCCATTGGATTATATATGCTAAAGGCTTTAGAGAAGGGCTGGTTTCAGAGAGTAACTTCCCCTGCACCGAGGGCATGAGGGTGACAAAGGGCTCTTCCTGAGCTCTTCCCGGCTGCTTTAGGGACACTTTAACTACTGATAAAGCTGCATTGTACTGAGCAGGCTTGGGATCCTGGAAAAGAGATTTCTTGAAATATGTCTTGAGGCTTTGCTTATTGTAGAGTTTAAATACGTGCTTTTTAAATCCTGCACCACTGGGAGATACTTACAAAAGGAGTTCCAAAATTGGCAAAAAGGCTAAAACCTTGGCAAGCTCTGAGAGTGACAGAAGTGCACGTCAGGAGAATGGGGAAACCCTCATGTTGGACAGAAACACCCATGGTAAATGTTTCTTCCTTTGTTTGACCCAAGCAGTCACTGATTACAGCAGTCAATTGGACATACTAATTACATTCTGTGTAAATTAAACATCAAATCCTTTTATTGGCAGAAGATTTTCTACCTTTTAATTTTACTTGTTAATTTGTTTTATGAAGAAGGGTGGATATGAACTCCCTGGTGACCTTTACATTGTTCATTTTTATAGAGAGCTTATACCACCTGTATATTCCCTTATTAAATTAAATAGTTGTAAAAAGCAGCTGGTACTTCTGACGTGCATCATTACAGAAGCCAAGGGCAGTGAAGTCCTCTGTTTTTTGGTATACAAGACTGAACACGGATACCAGTGTTATAAGCTTTGTATTCTGTCCTGTCAAATACCATCAGTCATCCATTGGAATGGTTTCTACAACTCTGAGGACATAGTCCCGTTTCCGTGTCAGTGACGTTGCTGGCCTGGGGACCAGGAGGGGCCCTGGAGAGCCAGGGGCAGCCTCCAGCCCTGAGCATCAAGCAGCTCCATGGGACTGGAGGCCAAGTTGGGGCCCAAGTTGAGCCAACTGAGGCCAAGTTGGGGCATCAGCCCGGCGTTCAAGGCCCAGATCAGCGAGGCAGTGGCCATACACAGAGACAGCTGGGGTTGTGTCTGGGGCTGTAGCTGGGGCAAGGCCCAGTGAGACAGCCTCTATTTAAAAGCAGCTCCCAGGGGAAGGAGGAGTGGCTCTTACTGAGGCCTCTGGCTGTCTTCTCTCCAAGGCCACCAGCTCTGCTCTTTCCAAGGTGGCCCCGGGCAGCCAGACTCCCAGAAGGAGGAAGGATGCACACAGGGCTCTTGCAGTATTGCCAGCAACCATTCCAGTTGGGGTAATGCACCTGCCTACTAAGAACTGGAATGAGATTATTACTTAACTCACTTGTACCTTCAAGTGATGGTTGTCTTTTGAGAACCAATGATATAAACTACATTTAAAACTAAGATCCTAGATCTTTCTGCTTGTGTATAAGTGAGTCCTGTCCTAGTGCTTGCCGACCTTTTCCTAAAAATAGTTTTTTCTGTATATTTTTAAAAGCAGTAGTGGGTCAAGGTACTCAACTGGAGTAAGCTTTTCATCATGCTTGTGAAGCATGCTATTGTAATCAACAAGATTAATCATTCAGCGAGCAAGTGTAGTTGATACATAATGTCAGGATGCATTGGAGATCATTTGTGATGCCTTTCATCTACTTCTCAGGAGTAAAATTAGAGAGATTCAGTTTTGGAATTATTCTGAAAATGTTTTCAATGTGTATATTTGGATGCCAGGGGAATTAAAGACTTCATTTTGACCTTGTTAACAGAATGCACAGGAAATGGATTTTTTTTTTCTAATCTCTCAGAAAGAGAAACATGGTTAAGAAATAAGTTATACAGTGTCATCAAGGAGAGCAAAAGATATGTGCTCTTTTTGTCCCGTAGTTGAAAGTAGAATTATGTCTTTTCTCATGAGGTTTATTTGTGGTGTCTTTTCTGATGAGTTTTATTTTTGGTTGGGTTACCTGGCAAAACACCATTCCTGACACTGCAATGGTAAAATAATTCAGTGCCAATTTAATAACAACAAGTTATTAAACTTATTTAGCAAAACAAAATTGGAAGTGAAATAATAAAATGCAAAAAATGCTTCATTACTCCTTTACCTTTTAAAAACTGAAATGCAGGTGAAATTACAGTAGTGTTTGATGACGCTGTTTGCAGTGATCATTTATTCTCCTATGTTAATGAGCATATGCAGCATTTTATTTTTGACATTAGGAATCCAGACTTCTAGAATTCTAGAAATCTAGAATTCTTGCTTGTAGTATAGGCAAAAGAAGTTATGTAGGTTGAAACTAGAACCTTGAAAAAGAAGACTTATTTCTGAAAATATTAGCTGCTATTGCAATAGGTATAAAAGAAAATCAAATAGAAAATCTGCAAGTTTGGGATTTGAAGTTCTCTTCTCCAGGGAGTCTTGGGCATCCTCAGCTGATTATTTCATCATAGCTTTTTTATCTGCCATGGACAAGGCAGTTCTTTATTAGATCCCAGTCTTTCCATGGCTGCCTTTGGGAGATCTACGTTCTCAAGGCTGCCCCTTGTCTCCTTTTTGTAACATCCAGATGGAGCATCAATGTGCCGCTTTCTGCTTTGCAGACAGAAAGGACCTGCACTCTTTTTCCTGGTGACTTGGTAAGAGGTCTGCTTCCCTGCCGTAGGGAAGGTGGCATACAGCAAATCAGGCTGCCTTTGCAGCATTCAGATCATTCTTCTTGGTTAAGTACAGGCACTGGGCAGCAGTTTCATGTGACCTGCAAAAAAGTTTCAATAGACATTTGAGATGAGACTGGGTGCTCTGCTTTATTAAAAGATGTAAAACACGTTTTTCCCTCTTTTGACCTAACCTATGAGGGTTAAATTCAGCTAACCAATATGGAAGTCAGTTTTATGCTGGGAGTCAGTACTTTGAAGTCAGCAGCTCTGAAGGGGCCTCACTGAGAGGACAATTCCTTAGAGATGATTTTTTTTTTTCTTGAGGAAATTTCTGCGTTAATCGCCTTGATGACTAAGTTCAGGAAGCATTTCAGTGTGACAGTAACAGCTTTGAAGTGCTAAGCTATTTCCCTGAAGAGTTTCCATTTTGTTCCAAGAGTATCTACTTTTTCCCATGTGCGAGTGATGGGAAGCCACATGTGGGTGCAGCTGTTTCTCTTCACTCATGTTGTTTTTCGCATTTTACTTTCTCATTCTCCTCTTCTCAACTTTGAGAGAGATCCGTTTGTGGAGCTATTAAAAGTTCTTGGGTTTGGTACTTTTTCATAATGTGATTTTTTTCAGAAAATTATTTGAAACTTTTGTCACTACCAAAAAGTTCAAAATCACTTTCATTTTTAAGAATTTTGTCTTTTGCAAAAATGTTTTTGTTTTCCATTAAGATCAGTGCCAAACCCAGAAGTATCTTAAGAAGCTCTATTCCCAGTGTGCTTGGTTGATAGGTCAAGAAAGAAGATCTACAGCAAAGTTTCTCCCTTTAGGCATTTTAGTAAATATCCCAAATGTTACTTCTTTGCATCTCCTGTTGTCAGTAAATGGAGAAGCAATTCTTTTGCAAAGCGGAATTCATTGGAGAGGCCCATTTGTAACAAGAAGCTTTAATCTGCTAATGCAGAGCTCTGCCACCATTTTTACTCGTGTCTTTTATCTATAAATATATCTCAAGTAAGGTCCTAGAAAAATAAACAGTCAAACTTTATGTAGAAAAGGGAAATGTAATTACTTGCAATTAAATGACACTTTAATTAACGTCATTAGTTTGTGTCAGCACCTCTTTTTTTTCCTCTGAAATTGAGGAAGTTGAAAACAGAAGCAGCAGTGCATTAAAGCATGTTGTAATCACACTTGTCACAGTATTTAAGAAGTGCCTTCTTATAAAGATAGAATGTTCTTTTCTGATGCAAATTATCGTTTTATTTTATGTTACTTTGTTTTAGGATTACACCCCGAAAATATGATGTCATTCAAGCATCTGAGCTTGGGCAGAAAGTTGGAACAATCACTGCTGATGTTGGAGATTTAACACTAAATCGAAGGGAAACAAGGACATCATTTACATTCAGGAAAGTGAGGAGAAGTCCTTGCAATTGCAGTAAGTGTCTTGAGGTGATCTCCAAGTCAAAATTGTTATTTATCACCAATATGTAAGCATTTTGGGGGGTCGGACTAGATGACCTTTGGAGGTCCCTTCCGGCCTAGACAATTCTATGATTTTTTAAAATTTTTCTTTTTTTTGAGCAAACCAGTTTATCTGTCTGGGTGGTTTTGGCAGCCCTGGTAGCCATTCCTGAGTGGCTCAGGGTTAGGGGTATGGCCGCTTGAATGGGTTGCACCTGTTTGGCTGCTGTGGTTTCTCTGTAGAGGAAGGCATCGGGCTTGCTCTAGAGCTAGGCAAGTAATCTGGAATCCTTCATTTCATTGGGACCTGAACTGCTGGAATTATGTACCAGCATAGAAGTAGCTACTGTTCTTCAGGTTCCCATCAGTTTTTGTTGTTTTTTATTTGAAGCAGACTGTAATTTTGTGAAAGTAAGTATGTTGGAGAGGAGAAGTAGTCAGATCTGCAGTGATAGAGCCATGTAAGTGCCTTAGGGCCATGCAGATAATAATAGATAGGTGGCTCAACAAATACATGGAATTGAAGTCCATTTGTGCCCTCGGAACAGAATTTCAGAGGCTGAATTGCAATGATGTCATGATCTTTGATACTAGGGGCACTGTCTCATTTTTGAAAACATAAACCTCGTTAACATAGGAGGGTGAGTGATCACTGCAAACAGCCTCTGGTATGTATGGGCAGGTTGCTTGTTTTAAGGTCATCAAACACTACTGCAGTTTGACCTGCATTTCAATTTTTAAAAGGTAAAGGAGCAATGAAGCATTTTTTGCTTTTAAGTTTAACCATCAAGGAATGACTTTAAAAACTTTTTTTTTGTGTGTGTGTATCTCTTGCTGTATCTAGGTTACCCATCTGTCTGTGACAGCCAGAAAGGACAGCAAAGACAGGCCCAACCTTCATTTCCCCACAATGAGATGGAGGCCTCAAAGCTGGAGCAAGAATACGTACACAAGGTGTACGAAGAGATTGCCACCCACTTCAGCAGCACCAGGCATAGCCCGTGGCCCCGAATTGCAGAGTTTCTCAGGTCACTGCCAAAAGGGTCGATAGTGGCTGATGTTGGTTGTGGTAATGGGAAATATCTAGGCATCAACGAGGATTTGTACATGGTAAGTCGTAGCTTTTGTCATTTGTTTTCATTGGTACTAGTGTTTATTCCATCGTGTGGTTGCAGCATGTTGGAGCTTCAGTTGTGGGTATGGTGCCAAAAACAGAAAGCTGTTTGCTGGTCCAAGAGCAATTACTGGTTGTGTTAGTTTTTCACATCCATTCACTGTGTGCATTACCCTTTTCTTTTCTCAAAGCCACTTTTGCTTTGCAAGTCAGCATGTGTTATTAAAAAAAAAAAAAAAGTGATGGTGCAGCGGATTGAAAAATTGTATCGGATGCTTTAGCCCTTTTTGGTTTTGAATAAGCTTACTAGAGGGGAAAATGATTGGACAGTTTGAATGCTTCCAACAAGTTTTTCACTTGGGTGGTGGGTGAGAAATGCAATGTGCATGTCACTGAAATCTTCATTGGACTTCTCATTTAACCTTTTCACTTTTCTTTGGCCTGGTGGCGTGGCTCATTTGTGAATGATGTCATGTTTGGCTGTCCCACCTCTGACTCTGTGCATAGGCCCAGTAAATATTCCAACATAAAATTCATGGGGGAGCCTCAACTTCAGCCCAAATTTCTGGCCTTTCTCTCACTTGCTTTACTTCACTTTTAGACAGTTCTGACATCATTCTTGCTGATATTCTCATCACCTTCCTTGTCTTACAGTCTGTACTTAGCCCAGTTTTACTTCTCTCCCTTCTTGTTAGGAAGACATGAAGCACATAGAAATACGAAGTTTTTATTCAAAGAGATAGTTTTTATTGCAAATATTTCAAAGCCATTTTTTGTAAGGGTCAAACTTACTATTATTTTTACCCAAAAGAAATCTTTCTGAGAGGTGTGCATTATGCTATCGGCTCTTCCCTGTTACAGAATTGTCTGATTCTTTCATGTGCTTGTGCTATGAATCACTTTGAAATCCATCAGGCTTGAAAACTTCTATGTAAGGCAAAACATTCATTATTAATAATAAAAGTCAGACTTGTTTGTTTCAGGAGTTTCTGTCCTGCTATTTATATTCGGCTATAAAACTTATTTACAGCCCTGTCTGTATTAGTAATGGATTTATTTCTATTACTCTTCTTATAAGAACAATATCAACTGATTTATAAGTAGGTAAGTTTATGTGTGACTGCTGTAGCTTGAAAATAATTATTAATGTTCAGTACATTTCAGTCTTTCACTCCTGACTCCTGTAAGAAAAATCAGTAAACTCAAGTAGGGAGGAGAAAAGTTTATCAGAGTACTGTGAAGGTCACCTGGTCCTAGAATGAATTCGGTAAATGCTTGTTGTGTTCGTTTGTGGTAGACTTTTAAGGCAAAATCTCTGCAAGATGCTGTGTTCAGAAATTGCCAGCACTAGTTTGTTTTCTGGAGCCCAGAGTTAAAAAACTAAGGGAATGAAAGATCACTTACGTACTAGCAGTCAAATGAAAGCCAGCCCCTCTCTTCTCTTACTTTAGGTGTTACCTCATATCATATGTGCCTGCAGGAGAAATCCAAAATGTGAAAAACTACAGTGAAAGGGAGGGAACTTTTAAAGAAGCAGTTGAGACAGCTGAAAAACTGAATCTGCGAATTGCTTCACTCAGTTGGTCTTCCTTGGCATTTTATTGTCAGATGGTGACAACTAGTTCTTCTTGGTTTGAGCTAGGCTCTAGACTTCGCATTTGCTTATTTTCATCTGCAAGCTAGCACAGAGTATCAGGACGATGGATGTGCCCCCTTATTTCTACTTTATTTATTTTTATATGTCAGCCAAAGTGTTGTTAAAGAATAACCAGTGTATGTTGTGTTTACAGATGTTTTTAAGCTTTTGACGGTATCTTGAAAAGACTAAGAGAACTAAATTATCATAGGTGAGAGGAGTGATGGGGTGTTACACTGGTTTGGAGAAAGAGGAAGGTTGGACTGTTGGATGTCATTCAGTACTGGTGAAGGGTTATCAGTGGGTGTCACTTAGATCACCTAGCATGGATATGGGTAGTTGCTGGTGGTGAGGACAATGAGGTGATCCAAGGGGACCTGATGGTTTGGGAGCAGGTTAAACTGCAGCAATCTGTTTTCTGCTGGAAGACAAAATACTTAGGGCACATTTAGTACCATTTATCAGACGGGACTTATGGTTGCAAAATGCCAGAAAGCCAAGCCCTGAGCAGCAGTCAGAGGGATTGGGTTGAATGCTTCTAAGGGACATAAGATCATTTTTTTTGTAGGTAATACAAACCCTCATTCTCTGATGCGAAGGAAAATGCCAGTAGACAGGACTTAGCAAGACAATTTTCTTATGGTCAGCTTTATAGAGAATGAACTGTCCTGATGATTTTTTTCTTTTGTGCATCTTCCTCTAAAGCAACTGGGATAAGGACAGTGCTCTCCATGTGCAAGGCATCAGTTTCCTCCCTCATTTACTCCTCTTGACTTGGGGGCATAAAATCCAAGCAGAAATTTAATAAATTGCTGCAGCCTAAGTTTTTATGCACAGTGCATTGGAGCTCTTTCCCCTGCTGGGAAAGGAGCAGTAAAGCAATGCTGTGAAATCAGGAGTTATTTAGGACTGGGTAGGGTGCTGTCAGTAGAGCCATGTAGCTTGGAGTGGTTTTGACTCAGAAATGCTGAAAACCCAAGGCAAGCACTTTCTGAAGGCAAGCGATGTGCTGTAAAGGTTACTGTACATTTCTAGATAGGATACTTTAAGTAGCAGCACTAATGGTATATCAAAGCTAAGGTCGTTCCCATGATGGTTTAATCTTCAGGCACTGTCTGAAAATGTCTCCACTGTGACCTGTGCTACTGTATTTGCTTCAGTTTCTTTGGATGATTACATATAGCCTTATCTACTTGAGTGTAGGGTTGTGTGACAATGAAATGCACAGAGTCCAACTACACTCAGTGAAAATGACAGTGCTGAAATGGCTGCCTTATTCTGACACACTGCAAGAGCAGCAATTTCATGACAAACAAATTCAGATTAACAATGTATGAGTGAGAGATGGAATCCAAGCCTGATGTAGTTAGGACAATGACTGGAGAATGATTGAATTTAATAAAGTTTCAGATTAATTTTTCTGTCTCACCCAGCTTTTTATTGTTTGAATGAATGCAAAAGAGAGAAATGGCTTCAGGGTTGTTTTTACACAATCCCCTTCCCACCCAACCTCATTGGGGGAATTATTTTAACAGTTTATATTTAAGTGCTTTCAAGCTTAATATTCGTAAGCAGGGCTTTTATTTTTATAAAATGCTACATTTCAGCCTTACCCAGCCCCTATCACCACAAGGGTTTCATTCCAGAGCCAGCTGACATCATTGCAATGTATCTCATCAATTTTTATGAGTGTTAGCTCTTCCTGTGTCCAGTGTTCAGGTGGGTGTGGTGATGTGTAAATCCCCACGGGAACATTGAGCATCCTCACGGGGCCAGGGTGTGAGTGAAAGACATGGAAGCCTTTCAATTTTATGGTTTAGATTTTGTAATTGTACAGATAAACTGATGGGAAATCCAATTACAAATGATTCAAAATGCCATTGGGTAGATATTTTTTCTTTACATAAAAAAAAAAAAATTACTCTCCTTACCAGAACAGCGATGCTAGGAAGAAAAATGATGGCAATGCAGGGGCCCAAAGGGTTTGCTTTAATACAGATGTTCCTGTTTCTGTAGTGCTTGTCATTCAAGGGTTATCAGTAATGTAGCCTGTATTTCACAGTGTGATGTGCATCTCTGTTTTCTGCATTACCGTCCTAAACTGGGATCCAGTGGAACTGTATAAAAGTTTGATTTTGCCAGTGTGTGGGGGAGAGGGAGGGTGCCTGTTTGCTGTGGTATGCTTGCAGAGTGGTGCGTGGGGTTTAGTTGCACTGGGTCCATGTTGACTGAGAACAGATTCCTACCCAAAGGACTCAGCAGTAGTGGATAAAAGCAGGAAGGACAAAACTCATTGGTAAAGGTACACACGGAGCAAATTCACTCTGTCTTAACAATCGGAGGGTGAGGCAGAGGAACCTTTGCTGACCTTTTCTCTCAATGAATAGGAGTCGTTAAAATGATGGGAGATCTGGGAAGATTGATCAAAAGGAACTGGGCAAGAGCAGCACAAGAGTGAAGGCTGAATTGCTCAGCCTGGTTCTGAGGCTTTGTCACTGAGAAGAGAACTTCACGTTTTAGACGTAGCGCTTTGTTTCCGCAGCCACCCTGACTGTATGCAACGGGAAACCAAAGCACTACGTGGAAGGAATGCTAAAGGTCTGACTCAGACCGAATGGAGCAAGGAGATTTGTCTGTCTTGCTGCGGCTGTGCTGGTGTCTCTTTTTGTACGTACGTGTGTGTTTGCTGGAATGTAATTTGGTTGAGGCTCTCATGCTATTAGTTATAGCTGAGGTGTTTCTCCGGGGAGCCACATAATTCCATTTGGTGGCTGGATTTCAGAATTAGATGTTGTTTTCTCCATCAGTTTCTGATGTGCTGAATCAATCAGGCTTCCAGATACTTAAATGAACTAATTCTACCAAGTAGAGTTAGTTATAATGAGATAATGCAGAAAGAAAATATATAATGGTGGGCAACATCGACCTGTCTTTACCTGTCTTTAAGCTTGCAAGAGGATTTCGCTCTTGCAGATTTGCAGCACCATTATAAAGCAAGCTATTTATTTAGTGTCTTTTGCCCATTAATGATCTATTCTGCATCACTGCATTAAGTAGATTTTGTAAAACTTGATTTAGCTGCTGCTGGCTGAAACGGTGAAGGTGCCTGGGAACGCAAAGGAGCAGGATGGGATCTCTGCCTGTTGTCCCGTTCCCAGGAGGCCAGTACAGCTGCTGCAAACTCAGACAAATCATAGGTGTTACATGCATTTCTCCCTTCCTTTATCCTTATATCTTAGTCTTTTTTGATACTTCCATTAATCTAGAGGTTTGTATTACCCAGTGTGCCCTAAACAGAGGGTGCTGTATGAATGATATCACGCTTTTGCCTCTTTTGTAAGTTTTGTGTTTGCTGGGGTTCTCATTACAGAGTTACAGGCCTCCATACTGATAGAGATTTCCTGGCTTAAACCTAGAGCTGGGTGCAGTTAGAGTTTATCCAGATACAATGAACCTCAGTGCCTGAAATCCTGGTTAAAAATGTAAGTGGATTCTGATCCCCAGTACACAGGTGTCAGTGGCCGCTCTGGAGCTCCTGTGGGTCATTGTCCACATCACAAAAAGCAGCAGAGAGAGGTTGGAGGCACCGGCCGGAAAGTCAAGGATGTGGGAATGGTTGCCTGGAGTAAAATCCAAGAAACCTGAGAAGCCAGCCTTCTTTGGGGAAATGCTAAAAGACGTAAAACAACTCGTCAAGCGATGGATTCAGCTGAATAGTCAGCCGTGCTATTGGAGATATATATGAGAAACTGGGGGGGTTGAGCAATCAATTGGAAAAAAGTAAACCGGGAAAACAGGTATAAGAAATGATTGAGAAGACTCACAGATAAATAGGGAACCTTAAAAATTTATACAACTTGATTCACTGAGAAATGTACTAGATTCTGTTGGTTTTGGATGCTGAAGTAGTAGTAATTTGTCTACCTTTTTCTACCTCTCTTCTAAAACAGATCATCAAGGACAGTATCCTGTGCTGAGCATCAAAATTAGAGATACAAACTGGCAAAAACTAGAGCATTCCAGTTATATTTTGAGAAGTTTTTTAAAAATCTTTGATTACATGTTTAATTAGAGAGAAAAAAAGAAATTAAAACATTTCTTTGAACAGTTTTCTGTAAATGAAGTTTGACCATATCAAAGCTTCCACGTGCTTCAGAATGTAGAAATCAGTAACAGAATTGTGAAGAGTTGAGTGGTCTCTGCCCCTTACTGTAAATGTTTTCTATATTTAGAAAAATCATAGATAGGCTCATTTTCCAGCTGAAAGCTGGCGTTGCACCGTTGAAGTTAGCTGCTTTTTCTAGCTTATTGTTTTCTAAGCAACAGAAACCAGTGTATTTTGGTTTTTAATGAATGCATGTTTCTTATAAGCTAGAAAATGCAGGAATGTGGTGATTACAATTCTTTTTAAGGTATCAGGCAGAGATAATTCTAGTAAGGATGCTAAATTTGCTTAGCTTCAGCACCTGGCATATGTCTGGTGTCCCTGTGTTCAGTGTACATGTATAGCACCTATTATGATGTTTACATTTAAAACCACATAAAGTTTTAGCCTAATATACCTATTTTAGAGCAGCTGTGCCTTCAAAGTGGTCCATTTCAAGGTCTCCATTTTCATTGCAAAACAGAATCTTTTTGCTTTGTGTGTAGATTCACTTTAATAAGTATGACAATACAAGCAAGCCTGACTTCGTAATTATTTGATATAATTTAGATGCAAATGAGGACTTCACATTCTGGCAGTCACGCCTTTGTTCTCATTCTCAGTTCATTGGATTTCATCAACATACAGCATAGTCCTTTTCAAGGTCACTTTGAGAGGGGAGGATTGAGGTCCGTTATCCAGCCCGTTTTTACTGTAGACGCGCAGGACCAAAGCAATTCTTTCTGGGAAAGCTTGTTGTCAGTGGAAGTTGCAAGTATTCTTCTCCCTCCTTCTGCCAGCAGTGATTTTGGTCCTTTGAGTTTTATTAAATACCACATGTTAATGTCTTAATTGCAAAAGTAGTTGAAGGAACCGGTAATGAGGCGTGGAATCTCTTAACATGCAGGTTGTCAGCTAAATCCGTTCCATGATGAGAGTAATTTAAAGATACTTCAGTTGGCTTCCAGTGTGAAATGATGGGGATTTATGTTTACTTCCAAATGAACCAAGAGTTTCCTTTTTTTATTTATGAATAACACTATTCATTTGGTGCTTCAGTTAACACAGAGTTGAGGCCAAGGAATAAATGGGAAGAAAGCAATGCTAAGATTGATTTTTTTTTTTTTTTTTTTTTTTTTTTCAGGTCTGTTTAGAGCTAATTGGCAGGACAATATGTACATATTCATTATATTGTTTTTATGGAGGATTATCTTGGGTTGTCAGGTTGGGATTTTCACAACTGTTTCATTTGCTTTGGACCAAAAATCAGGGACCTGACTAGAAAGCAGCTCACCTGGAAGCTTTCAGGACATATGGCTGGAACGGAATCGTGACTTTCTTAAAAACTGTGATAGTAGACTGAAAGCTAAAATGATTTGAACAATAAAATGAAAAGTTTTGATGGAAAATAAATATATTTTCATTAATCATTGCAAAAGAGATTTTTAACTTTAGCAGTACTGTTGTCTCTACTGGGTTGATTAACCAGAGCAAGTTCTTTGCTATTCTTCTTCCATCAAGGATGGTTTAGTATTCTTTCTGTGTCAAATGCAATAAACACTGTCAGCAGTAATTAGGATTCTGAATCTGTTCTCTGCTATCTACTTGTTGCTGATCATTGAAAACAAAAATAAATGTAATATTCTTATGCAAGCTGAGTTTGATATATGACTTGGTAGCAGAGCTTTGGTTTGAGTATTCAATGTGCATGGCAGACATGAAAACGAGGGTGGTGCATGCCTCGCTCTATTTGTTCTTTCAGAAGGGTCTTGATCAATTTGAATTTATTGTGTTTATGCAAGCAGGTAAAAAAAACTCCTCTAGGTGCTTTTTCTTATCATCTTTGACCTGGACACTGGGCCAGGTTCAAAGGAGGACAAAAGGGAACATTTTATGAGGTGTCTTGAAGTGGTTCCTAGTGGTCACTTCATCTGGACTGTACAGAACCTTGGAAAATTATGTTGTGGTTAAATTTTTGTGAATTTTGATACTGAGAGTGAAGAGGACTGTATCTGAGCACTTCCTTACTTATACTGAAATGACGAAACCTGGGTGATGAGTGAAGCTGTGTGGTATGCTTCAGTGATGCCACCAAGGTCACCAGTTTGGCCTTTACACTTGTAGATTCACGTTTCGTGAGTTCAGTATTTGGCTGCTTCAAATGCTGTGAGGTTATAAATGGCAATTGAAAAGAAAAGCAAAGACCAAGGTTAGTTCACCTCTGTTTTTCTTGGTTTCAAGAGCCAGTTTTGAGGAACAATTAGGTTGAAACCTGTATACTGTCTTAAGCTGGTTCAAAATCAGGGTGCTAAAATGAGCTGTCCAATATCCAATCTACCATCCTCATTTTAAGTAAGCACCAGGGGTTTTGTTCTTTTTGTCTCTACCTGGGAGCCATATATTCTTCTTAAGGCTATTTTCTCGCACTTGTTTTTATTTTAAACTAGAATGTGTTTCCTCAGTAGGAGACTATGATGACTCTATTACTGTAAGCGTCAAGTGAAAATCATTTTCCAGTCTTGTAATTATCCTCTTAAGAAAAGCTTAATGAAACACTTTCTGTTACAGGTTGGCTGTGATCGCAGCAAAAACCTGGTGGATATTTGTGGAGAAAAAAATTTCCAGGCTTTTGTCTGTGATGCCCTGTCGGTGCCAATCCGCAGCGGTTCTTGTGACGCCTGCATCTCTATTGCTGTAATCCACCATTTCTCAACAGCGGTAAGTCACCCCTCTCTGTGCTCCACTGCACTGCTGTATTGCTGTGCAGAGCTACTAATAGTACAAAAACCTGCTAGTTTGGGCTCATGGAAGCAAAATGGAAGAACAAAATGGGGGGAAATCATAGAATCATAGAATTGCCTAGGTTGGAAGGGTCCTTTCAGATCATGTAGTCCAACCATCAACCTGACGCTGACAAAAACCATCACTAAACTGTATCTCTAAGCATTGTGTTTACCTGTCTGTTAAATACCTCCAGGGATGGTGACTCAACCACTTCCCTGGGCAGCCCATTCCAATGCCTGATACCCCCTTCAGTGAAGAAGTTTTTCCTAATATCCAGTCTGAACCTCCCCTGGTGCAACTTCAGGCCATTTCCTCTTGTCCTATTGCCTGTGACCTGGGAGAAGAGACCGACCCCCACCTCTCTACACCCTCCTTTCAGGTAGTTGTAGAGAGCAATAAGGTCTCCCCTCAGCCTCCTTTTCTCCAGGCTGAACAATCCCAGCTCCCTCAGCCACTCCTCATAAGACTTATTCTCCAGACCCCTCACCAGCTTCGTTGCCCTTCTCTGGACATACTCCAGCACCTCACTGTCCTTTCTGTAGTGAGGGGCCCAAAACTGGACACAGTGCTTGAGGTGGGGCCTCACTAGTGCTGAATACAAGGAGACCATCATTTCCCTATTCCTGCTGGCCACACTGTTCCTGATACAGGACAGAATGCTGTTGGCCACCTTGGTTTGCTCTTGGAGTAAGCACCTGCAAGAGCAGAATTAAGCTGTTGTACTGCTGCTGCTTCTTAAGCTTTCTCTTCACCTTCTCCCTTTGCTTGTCAGATGCCCTTGCTCCTCCTGGCACATTGTTCTCGGTGTTTGTGTTTCATTTTTGTCTGCTTATAATTAATGACACTGGAGAAGGGGACTCTGCTTTGGGAGTCAAGAGATATGTTACTTCCCAGCTCAGATCTTGAGCAGATCTCATGGGTTTTTTCCTCTGTGCCTTCATTGTCCATCTGCACATGACAGGGACACTGCTAGCTACTCTGCTTTGTCTCTGGGCTGTGTGAGTGTTTTCTGGCAGGAGCTGTGTGATTGTAATAAACTTTAGACCATGGACCCATAATCTTAGGTGGAGCCCACTGGTCTCTCCATACCAGAAACACAGCAAATGTTTCCAAACCCAAAATAAAAAAGTAGGAAGTTGTCTGTTTAGGAGACTTTGGAGAATGCTGACCTGTGTTTAAGCCATAAATCTGAGTCCTTCAGCTGCAGACTTAGTGTGTTTATCATTAGGTGTGATAGATTTAAATCTGGGATTTTAGACAGAGGCGTGTGTCATTTCCAGCTGGGCAGATATGTCTTAGACGTTCTTCTCAGCACAGCAGTAGTTTTAAATAGAAAGAGAATCGTAGAATCATTTAGGTTGGAAAAGACCTTTAAGATCATAAAGTCTGACTGTTAACCCTGCCAAGTCCACCATTATACCATGTCCCTTTGTGCCCATCTACATGTCTTTTAAATACTTCCAGGGATGGTGACTAAACTGCTTCCCTGGACAACCTGTTCCAATGCTTGACAACGCTCTTGGTGAAGGAATTGTGTTTCAGAGAGAATTGTGTTGAGGAAAGTGTCTTGGCTTGCACGTACTGATGGGCTATATTATGAATGAAAACGAACAGTGGAAAAAATTTCTCAGATTTTGTATTATGTCTTGTGGGGGGACAGCAAGGAGGAATTGCTGCCATTCCATTCTCCTGTCTTTTTGTTTATGTACTATCTTTACACCTTTGCTTTTTCTTTATAGGAGAGGAGACTGGCTACTATCCGTGAGCTAGCGCGGCTTCTAAGGCCCGGTGGAACAGCACTCATTTATGTCTGGGCGATGGAACAAGAATACAAAAACAAGAAGTCTAAATACCTTAAGGAAAAGATTGGTAGGAAAGGCACAGAGGAGGAAATCGATACTGGCACAGCCCAAAGACCACTTAGTGATCAAACACCTGATAGCAGCAGCCAAGACCCAGTGTGTTCTGACCAACTCCTTAATGACTCGAAGGACAAAGGCAGTGACACAAAGCCAGTCGCAGATTGCAGACTGCCCGTTCACACTAACCGAACCTCCTTCCACTCTCAAGATTTGCTGGTTCCCTGGCACCTGAAAGGTGGCACTAAAAAGAAAGGGGAAAGCGTCGATACAGTGCTGCTTCCAGCTGGCTCCAAGGAATCCCAAGAACTCAGCCCTGTTTTCCACCGCTATTACCATGTGTTCTGTGAAGGGGAGCTGGAAGCAGCATGCAGATCCCTGGATTGTGTGAGGGTTCAGAAGAGTTACTACGATCAGGGAAACTGGTGTGTGGTTCTAGAAAAGTTGTAGCCTGTGCTATTTCCTCCCCTACCTGTGGTGCTCTGTTTCTTTTCACAGTGTGAAAGGTATTTTTAATGCAGGCTGCAGTTATTACCTCTTTTAAAACTGCAGAATAAAGATTGTTTATTGAGTTAATAGCAGTAACTAGCACTATGTACATATCTTAACAAAATTAAGGGCCAAACTCAGTTACCACCTCTGCAGAATGTTTATTTTACTTTTGTGAGCAAGATGTATTAAGTGGGAAAATACTGGCCATGAAAATCAGTGAGGCCAGTGTCGAGCTGTTAAAGACAAAGGGCCTGGTTCTCCTTTCTCTTACACCGGTTTATGCTGGTGTAGCTGTAGTGGCACACACAAGCCCACAGCTAATTGGAATGGAGCTCTGGGCAGGAAAGCTGAAGCTGTTGCTGTATAAAACTGTGGCTCAGGGAGGAGGGAATGAATGGCATATGTGTTTTGCTGTTTCCTATTTTCCTCCTCTGCCTTTGGCCTAGAGGGCAACTTGCTTGTCCTTGCTTCTGCTCCCAGCTGTCACGCTACGGGCAGAGGACGGCCCTGGGAAGACACGCAGAGGGGGATTCTGTGCTGATAGTTACTGTGAGTAAATGGCAACACTGAGTAATACATAGTCAAGCTAAGAAAACTTAAAGAAATGTGTCAAATCAGCTGTGAGATCTGGCTTGTTTTTCTACTTTTACTTGGCATTGCATACTGCTGAGAAACCTGCCTGTCAGTTACTAAGGCTGCATTGTGTTTTGCAGGGGTGTCCCTGCGTGCTCACTCCCCTCTGGGACACTTCCCAAAAAGTTGAATTCCCCACTGGGGGTGGTATTGACACGGTTTTGCATGGAGGCCCCTGAGCTGGCTTCAGTAGTGGGACGCCGTGCTTGGGTGCAGCAGCCCACCCAGTTCCCCAGTGGGCTGTGGGACCGGAGCGAGCCCAGGTGGCTCCCCAGTGCAGTGTCACACAGCATCGATGTGTCACTGGTGGCAGAGGGCAGGGACAGCTCCTGCTGGGGGTCTGTGCAGTGACTAACTCACTAAATTGGGCTGCCCGTTATTTCTGATGCCTGTGGATTGCATTCATGCAGACAAAAGTTGGAGGACGACATCTCTTACGCTCTTTATCTGCACGGCCTTGTGTTTGTCCGTGCCTGGCTTCCTGCTGAGTGCACAGCGGCTTCTGTTCCCTTTATCTGTAGGTGCATTTTCTGTAAGGATACACAATGAGCTGGCAAGAAACGCAAGTGCTGCTTGAAACAGCCCCAAAGTGTTGCTGTATCTTGACCTAGACCTTGTGTGACAAATGAGGAATCGGGTCTGCAGCAGCGCTCGATGACTCAATGTTCTCTTGTTCTGCCTGGGGAGAGCTCAGAGGTGCTGGCTCAGATTAACCGCTGGCTCTGAGCTGGCCTTGGGGTGAAGTGCTCTTCTAACCTAGGGCTCCAGTGCTCCAAGTACAACAGTCAAATGTGGACTTCATGTAACAAACTGATCTATTTTTCTCAGGCCCTGTGGCTCCCCCAGAGCTCTGCTGCCTCCCTGCGCTTCCCCAGCAGAGGCAGCATCAGGTAGTGTCTGGTGTGCCATCAAGCAATTCTTGGCTGCCAAGGCTGATTAACATCACTTCTTGACTCCTGCATAAACGAAGAGTTCAGATCCCCACTTTCACCAATTCTACAGTGAAGCATCTGGGTTGTCTGAGAAAAGTCATGTTTTGCTATCAGCCTTCAGATCCCATCGATGTTCCTGCTGTGAGATATTCACAGAATCACAGAATCTTAGTGGTTGGAAGGGACCTCTGAGATCATCAAGTCCAACCACATTAAAAAAAAAAACAAACCAAACCAAAACGCAAAAAAAACCCAAACAAACACACCCAAAAACACCACCCACCAACTAAACCCCACACCCACAACCCCACACACAACACCCCACCACAAACCAATAATCTTGGGCACTAGAGCATGCCCTGAAGAGCCATGTCTACATGTTTCTTAAATACCTCCAGGAATGGTGACTCCACCACCTCCCTGGGCAGGCTGTTCCAGTGCCTGACCACCCTCTCAGTAAAGTAATTCTTCCTAATATCTAATCTGAATCTCCCCTGCTGCAGCTTCAGACCATTTCTCTGGTCCTGTCATTATTCCCTTGGGAGAAGAGGCCAACCCCCACCTCTCTACAACCTCCTTTCAGGTAGTTGTAGAGGGCAATGAGGTCTCCCCTCAGCCTTCTCTTCTCCTTTCAGCCAACGGCTTTTAGCTTGAGTCACAGCGGTGTTTCCCATCCCTTTCACCCTCACCCAGAGCAGAAAGTGTAGCTCTCCCTGTCCCAGGCAGCCTGATGGTGATGGGTCTCAGCTGCTCCTGGCCCTGGAGGGGGGTTCTGGAATGGAGAACACCGGCTTGGGCAAGGCTGATGTGTGGGTTGAACGTGTGGTACATAACTCATTACCTAAGGGGATTTTCCTGGTGTTGCCAAGGGCTGTGAGCCGGAGGCTGGTCCCAGGAGCGTTTCAGCTCTTCAAAGACATTAGAAGAGCTGAAAGAACTCTGACATCCTCCGAGGCTGGAAACGTTATGAAATATTTCTTTGATTAAAGTCAGGCTGTTTCTTCAGATGCTCAGAAAGGAATCAAGTGTTGAAGGAGAAAACGACAAGGGAGGACGGCAGGTAGATGTTAACAAAATGTATTGCAGAGGTTTATCGAGGAGCTCGTTCCAGCACAGGATTATGTGCCACCACAGCTGCCCTCTGCAGTGCTCACTTGCCCCTTTTTACCTCTTGGAAGTGTAATGAGCCGAAACTCTTTAAGGTCAACAGTTGGATTTAAATGTTACAGGTTTCACAGTGCAGCGTTTTTTATAATCATTATGTTCTGGTTTGGGCCTTATTTAAATAACAAATGTGCTTAAATGGCTATTCATTTTCAGACTAGAAGATGAAGGGACGGCAGAGCTCCGTGTGGGTATGACCCGTGCGGTGAATGCCGATGCCTCTCCTGCGGCAAGTCCTCCCCGTGTCCCAGCCATCCTCAGAGTGCCTTAGCAGCAGGGAGGTGGGAATTTCTGCTCTGTGGGTATGGGCCTTGGTTTAGCTCTGGGCACGTGCATCTGGTGGTGTGACCAGAGGTGGCTGTTTGTTTTGGGGGTCACTGTCCCCCTTGTTCCCAGCCTCATGTCACAGGGACCAGCCACCCCGCCTGACCCTGCATCAGACAGCCCTGTCTGCTGGTGGGTTGCACTGTCCTGCCCCCACAAAACCAGTGCTTGCAATTTTAACACGATGGAAGACAGATTTATATGTCAGTCTTTGATCAAAATCTACTTGAGAACCTATTTCTGGTGAAGCGTCCAAATGATGGTTCTAAGAGAATATTTGGGTTTTTACTGAGCAATCTAAGTCTCAAGTTTGCTACTTGCCTGTTGTTTGTTTTTTTTTAATTTAGTATTTGTTTTTTTCAGAACTGTTTCTCTATTTTTAGTGGAGTTTGTCAAGATTCTTATTTGTTTGTGCACAACTATTTCCAACATGATTTTATTGAAATCTGTGATAAAAATTTTGTAGATGTGTTTAGTGAATTTCTGCATGTGGGGAAAAATAAGCCATTTCTATGTGTAAGGAACAATACAAAAAATTTGAACTTTCATTTTAAGAAAATTCCTTGTTTATGAAACATGAAAATAAAAAACTGATACAGAAGAATCCCAGGTGCTCTCCCCCATGGCAAGGCGTGCTTCAGCCATTGGACTGGCTGCTTAGACTGTTGTTTTTTTCCCATTTTGTCTGAATCTGGGAGGGGTCTCAATGTGCAGTCTACAAATTTCCCTTGTTACTGGGGTCTGTATTTCTACAAATTCCAAAAATGGGGTTTGGATAACTTTTCTGCTTTGTCTTTTGTATGGTTATGTAATATCTTGTCCTCCTTTTTTCTCTCCTCTTTTCAGTGGTGCCTAGAAAATCCTGGAGCAGTGTGCTCCAGTACCGACTGCCTGTCCCACAGCTGGGTGATTCCTTCCTCCCCTTGTCTGTATCCTTATTTTCTTCTCCCTTATTTTGTACATTCTGAGGTGTGTGTTCTTTGTGTATTGCGAGAGCAGCTGGCTCCTCCTCTGCAGATGTATTTCACATAGGGTTTGGTTCCATAAGTGTGTTCCTCACCAGCAAAGGAAGACTGAGATGTGTCTTCTCTTAAGCTGCAGACCCCATCTCTCAGCTCTGCTGAAAATTCTGAGATAGCTGCATGGAGAAAAATTGCAGGAGATACATGATTTGTAGGAGGAAAGAGGCCTGAGACAGATGAGACTGCCCCAGCTTAAGGTTCTTCCATGGACCTATACAGATCTGTGCTGAGGGTCCAGATGGCAGGAGGTGGTGTTTGACCCCCGCCCAAGTTTTTGCTTTGCCTAATCTCTCCTTGTTTTCTCACATATATTGACATGTTTATAGTAAGCTTTTTTAGGAAGTGACAGCTGAATTACAAACCATCAAGACAGAGAATTCGCACATCGCTGTGTTAGCAAACAGCATTCCAGTTTCTTTCTTCTGGAAAAGGTATTGCATGGTAAGAAATGTTGAAGTAGGATGAGGACTTGGGAAGATGTGCAGCTCAGAAGAATCTGCCAGGTATCAGCCTCTGATCCTGCAGACCATCAGTCTGCTCTTAGCAGACAAAGCAATTAGCCTGTACAAGAGATGCAGATATTTAGGTCAAGGTCTTTCCTCCCTGTTTGTGCACTCAGAGTGGTTTGTGAGGTACAGGAACAAAACGTCTGGAGCTGAGGAAAGTTCATCCTTGTCTCAGACACATTGCAGACTTGTTCAAAGAGGCAGTATTTTAGTGAGGGTTGGACAAACAGAATAATATTCTGATGCTGATGCAGAGAGAAGCCAGTGGTAGTTCATATTGAACATAAAGGATCCTCTGGGCAAAATGGCACTATTTATACCTCACCTGCATGATGGGTCCAAGTCAGGCCTGGCTGCAGATGTGGGCTGCACCTCTCTGGCCTGAACAGAGCCAGGCCTCTTGCATCTGTCCCTGCTGTGGCTCATTCATGATTTGATCCGGAACAGCTTAAGGTATCTCTGAGCTTCAAGGAGGCTGAAGACACCTGACAACCTGAGTTGTTTTATGAGGACAGCCATGGCCTCAGCTCTCTCTGGCTCAGGAGAATCACAGAAAGTCAGATTCCCCTAAAATTCTTTTGTGCCAGACTTGAGGTCACTGAGCTCAAGAGCTGAATTTACAACCCTGCATATCCTTCTGTGCTCCCTCTGACTCAGAGACACGGTTTCAACACGAAGGGCAGTAAATAGACAGCGTGTACTTCTAGATGAAGATGAGTTTGGGGTCAAGAGCTCTGAGAAGCTCTTGACGTAGGAACTTCGTCTCCTGTCTCCTGGAACGTTTTTCTACAGCACCACACATGGTGAAAACACACTTCACAGGAGGGGCTTAGTCCCATGGAGCTGTGGTGAGGATGTCATGAGAAAGAGCCACCTCCTGAGGCTTGGGCACTGCTTTGAAATGTAGATAGGTGAAGAGCTGCCTAGTGATGTGAATACACAAAGCAGAGCTGCAAGTGCCTCATGGAAATGCTTTACAGAAACACGTACGTTACTGTGCAGACAGAACTAGCCTGCTGTGCTGGACAAACATCCCTCTCATTCCCTATTCCTCATCTGAGCCTGAATTGTGCTCAAGGCCAGGTTGGATGGGGCTTTGAGCAACCTGATCTCGTGAAAGATGTCCCTGCCCATAGCAGGGGTTTGGACTAGATAATCTTTGAAGGTCCCTTCCAACCTCAACCTTTCTAGGATTACAGATTCTCCCGTTATGACTTAATTCCTTGTTTTGCTCCTGAGGTAACTCTAGTTTTCCTGTCCCAATGCAGGAAAGCCAGAACAAAACTGCTTTGCCTCTGTTTCATCCCATTTGTCCAGGTCTGTCTGTGTGCCAGCTGATGGCCACCAGTTACTGCCTCCTTTAAACAGACACAGAGGTGCTGCTTTGCTTACAGAGTAAGGCCACCAGGACAATGGTTGAACATACAGCCAGTTGCTGAAGAGCGAGCAGAATCCGTATGGTGTGGTGTTCCCCAGAGCCTCCCTGCTGACACCACGACAAAGGAGGAGGCAGCAAAGCACCATTTGCCTCCTCTAGTACAGACTAAGGTTTTGCAGCTTGTGGTAAAACCAGACGTTCAGCGGGTGTTTGTGTGCATGTAGCTTTTCCTTAAGTGGTTAGAGAAGACATCCCTGGCAACTCCTACCAGATGTGTTTACAAGATGCTACGTCCAAAGTTACTGCCACATCTGGCCACTGTCAGCCGAACTGGATTTAGCACTTTGTGTTGGAGCTCCTTGCTTCAGGGGTGCCCCATGTCTCAGGGTAGTTCAGGGGGATACAAAAAAGAAATGAAATAGCTCAACTATGTGCTTGGGTTTTGACTTAGGCATGTGGTCTTAGAGCCTTTTTTAAAATTCTTCAGACTGATGCTCCTCACTTTCTTGTACTAATTCCCACTGGGGGGGATGTTTTATTTTTTAAATATATTTTTGAATAGAGACTGAGAGAATAAGGAACAGGCAAAGATTCTGATAGTCTGACTTAGTTTTAGTTTCTGAAACGCAGTAGAGGATTGTGTTGATGCAACTGGAGGGTGACAGAGGAAAAATAAGTTTTATGCCATATCACTCTTCTGACCTTCCCACTCCCCTTTCTTTGTTCTTGAAGGGCTATTTTAGTAAACAATCACAAGGTTGCAACAGCCACCATCTCCAAATGTCACTGTCTTATGGGCTGGAAAAATGAAAAAGCAATTTGCTGCAGGTGATACTGTGCTTTGCTTTTCCTCCCTGTCCAGC